TAGACGCTCGTATATATGCGCAAAGACGCGTATATGCTCAATATACAATTTTGCTTGCGTTGTGTGTGAATGAGGCCTTAGAAAGGTACAGCTGTGGTGGATTCACACTATTTTTCCTGTGTTTCAATATTTACAAAGTGGCGTCTCAGTGAATCCGCCATGAAATGCTGCATAGCTCAAGCATTAGAAGGTAAAATAGTTACAGTCATGTCACTACCTGTCATGCTGTTACAAGTAAGCAGCCAAGTCAATAAGAAATATCTGACAGACACGTGCTGCTTTCCACAGAGAGCCAGTGGGATGTTAACCTTGTCTGTCGGCCTCCATTAGCCTCATAGAACACAACCAAACGATTCTAGCACCCACAGAAATGAACAATGCCTCCTAACCTAGCAGGAGTAAAAAAAGAAACACATAGTGAGGAAATGCTGTGTGTACATTGCAACAAATATGAAGTAAGTCTTTTCACACATCCATTTCCTCTGTTAACCACAGTCCTACCAAACAGGGGAACATTGTGAAATATCCTGTAAAGGATCCATTGGACCTGTTTTATGCTTTTGGTGGACATCTGTTGCCAAATCTACACCCCTATATCACAGCATTTATCCTAATAGACTATACCCTAGTACACAATGCTAAAATTGTAATGTTTTCCATCATGTTTTGTAGATTGTACACATACAACATGATTTTTCAGCATTAGACTATTATCACTGATCTCTAGGCAAACAGCTGAATACACAAAAAAGGGAGCTACTGTTACCATACAGACCCGTAACACTACCTGCTAAAGATATTGTATTTCTGCCCATCCACTTCTGAGATTTACACAGCTCTGCCACTCTGGCCAGACAGGAGACCTCATTTTTCACTGCTGCAGTTCAACGAAACACAGGTTGTGTCCCTCTCCCAGCCTGTGATTGAACAGTGAAAGGAAAAGCAGCGCACTGATGAGCTAAAGCTTATCTCTCTGTCACTCTGCTTTCCTCTTCCATCAGTAATATGCTTGCACCGCAGCACAAGTGATTGGCTCTCAGTGTTGCTTCTGCCTCCCCCCAGTCTGAGCTCTGCTGTACAGGGACTTCAAGAGGCTGAAACCAAGTCAAATTCAGGTACTTACACTGCTTCCATTTTAAAAAAACACATATAAAGGATGTATTGATCAATAAAGAAGCTGCACTAATGTGTGTCTTTTATATCTGCCTGGAGTTCAGGTTTAAAGTGCATGGATTACTTTTTTCAACCGCATCACACCGCAATGCACGGTATTGCAGTACTGCGCTTTGCAGCGTGGTAGATCGCATTGTGGATGGGCGAAGCCTTTGGGGCCATTCGAATGAATGGCAACGCAATGCATCTCCCCCACTGTTAATGCACAGTAGGTGCGTTGCGTGGTAGGGCACTGAAGGTTTACAATCTGAATGCACAGTAGGTCACTCACACAGTAATCATGTAATGTAAGACTAGAGTGTAAGGTGTGTTGGCAACTAGCCTTAGCCACTTCAGGACCATAGGACCATAGGATGTACATGTACATGGTTATACAAAGATCATGGCTGGTGTTGCTGCTGGGGAGGGCTCTTGAGTACAAGCAATCTGGGGGGCTGTAGAGCCACCCGAGCACTTGTCCTGTACTGTATGTGTACCGCAACCTCCCACACACCCCACGTACACCTCCCCACCGCTTTGTCTGGGCTCTCCCGCTCCTCTGGGGATCACGCCAAATACGCTCAGTATGGAGAAAGGGATACAGACATCCCAACCTGTAAAAAATTATTTTATGGAGGTGCCCTTCTCATTTCGGAGGGGGAGGACCTCCCTGAAATGATGGCAGATAGCAAAAGAGCTAATGCTTTTCCCATGCTATCTGCTGTTTCGGGTCCACCTCTGCTGATTGACAGCAGCAGTGGGCGGGTGCAATAGCCAGCCTGCTACTGGCTACTGCAAATTGCAATAGCCAGTAGTAGCCTAGCTATTCATTTCCATACTGTCTGGTTTTATTTTTTTATTGTTTTACTCTGACGGCGGCCGATGTCAAAATAATAAAAAAAAAAAACAGATAGCAGGGGATCCCGGAAAGGTTTGCCCTACTAGAGCAGAGTAAACCTTTCCGGGATAACTTATTTCTCTCCTGGGCATCAGGGAGCCGCTATCTAATAGTGGGAGACTCCCAGAATTTCCGGGAGAGTTGAGATGGGGATAAGGCTAAAGAACGTCCGTTCCCCGATCTGCTCTTTGGTCACTGAAGCTGACAAGCGCCTTGCTCTCAGCACGGTAACCCATCCGCTAAAACGCTGCATTTTAGTAGACAGGTTAGTGCATTTTGGCACCTCCGGCAGTGTGCATTGAATCACCCATTGCCAGAGCCGTCATTGTTTACATTTGTATTTATTCATTTTTGTTAACTTTCCCTCAGGCGGCAAAAAGGCTTGGAACACCCATGTTCCTGCAGCAGGGATAAACACTGAAGCTGGATTCACACATTGTAAAAATGAGGGCAGTTTGTGTGTTGCCATGCATTGTGGCATGTGTGTTTGTGTATTGTTGCAGCCTTTTAATAGCAGTCAGTGTTTTCTTGCCTGAAAAAACGTGCATCTACCTGTGTAACCATTCATTTCTATGGACCGCAAAATGCATGTTGACACGTTGAACGTTGACACAATAAGATTCACACAGATTGCGTTTGTTGCAATGCATTGCACTGAATGAGTATGATTAGTTTGTAGACCATTTCTATGTTTGCTGTGGGTTCCCTATAGTAGTTAATTGTAAAGTAAATTACCACTGAAAGCTGCTTAGATGTAGAGAGCCTAAATTTAGCCTTATACAGCACAATCGGTGGTTTCCATCTGCAGTGTCTCTGTCCAATGTTAGCCCTGGTACACTCTAAAATGGAGAACAGTTGTTGGCCATCATTACCTTTTAACATGATTGAACTAAACGATTCAAGTGGAACTCCAGGCAAACCTTTGTTTGTTTTGACTAAATGGCTACTTCCATCAAAGTTTATTCTCATGGGGGTTTGATTTGTGACAGATTCACTTCAATCTGCAATGCAAACTACTGTTCAGTCTGCCAACAGTCATAAAAAGTACCTCCTTGTGGGCTGGACAGGCCTACCAGAAGTTCCCATTTTATGACAGGGCCTTCAATACAGAATTGCATTGGGCATCTGAACTATTTGTGGGGGCATATAACTTTGGGTTAATTCAAATTAAAGGGAGCCATATTGTACAGTATACCCTTGCAGACCTGACTTCTGAAAAGTGTACAATAATTGTGGGAAATGCACCTTAAGTGCATATATGAAAAAAGTTGGATATGCAAATTATCCAGTTGTTTTTCTTAATCAAGCAATTTAATAGCAGCATTGATTCCATGTAAAACTTTTATGTTTCCCTCTAATCAATAGTACTAGTAACCATGCAAACAATAACTTATCACACCATATACTGTAAATCTCTCATATTTTTCAGTTTGTTGATGAAGATCTCTTCCTTTCTTCAGTGACTGAGAAAACTGAGAGCGCAATTATATTGTATGTTATCTGGAGTAGAGCTGATATATGATGCACAACCTTTTAGAAGAGGTGTGTACGCCTTCATTCCTCTGTAACTTGTGCCCCAAGGGCTACTACGGTAAAAGCTCCACCAAAACCACACTGTAGATCAGCTATGCATATTGATTCTCTACAACTGCACAAGTAGTACATTGAGAATTGAACAAATCCCCCAACACAAGAATAAATAAAATAGTTTTCTACAATAACTTCTACATCACTCAAATAATACAGCGAATCAGGGTCAGAATAAAAATAGATTTCTTTAATTTCTTTGTGGCAATATCTGTGTTCTGGCCTAATCTGAATAGTGCAAATCAGTAAGTGCAATAACAATTATACTGATAATATAATGTTATTAATATCTTAAAATGTATCTATATTATATGGGCAATGCTTATCGCCCTGTTTTTATATACAGTATATGGGCAATGAATCTCCCTGCTTTTATATAAAGTCAATGGGCAATGATGGTCTCCCTTCTTCTTTATACAGTACTGTATATGGCCAATGTTGAGCTCCCTGCTTTTATATAAAGTATATGGCCAATGCTGATCTCTCTGCTATTATACAGGGGTAATACTTATCTCACTGCTTTTTTATAAAGTATATGACCAACGCTGATCTCTCTGCTTTTATATAAAGTATATGACCAACGCTGATCTCTCTGTTTTTATATAAAGTATATGACCAACGCTGATCTCTCTGTTTTTATATAAAGTATATAACCAATGTTGATCTCTTTGCTTTTATATATGAGCAATGCTGATCTCTCTGCTTTTATTTATGGGCAATGCTGATCTCCCTGGTTTTTTTAATAAAGTATATGGCCAATGCAGATCTCCCTACTTTTATATACAGTACATAGGCAATGCTGATCTCACTGCTTTTATATACAGTACATAGGCAATGCTGATCTCACTGCTTTTATATAAAGTGTATGACCAATGCTGATCCCTCTGCTTTTATATAAAGGATATGGCCAACGCGGATCTCCCTGCTTTTATACAAAGTATATGGACAATGCTGATCTCCTTGCCTTTATATACAGTATGTGGTCAATAATGATATCCCTGCTTTTATGTAAAGTATATAGACAACTCTGATCTCCCTACATTTATATACAGTATATGGATAATGCTGATCTTCACACTTTTATATACAGTGTATGGACAATGCTGATCTTCACATTTTTATATCTATGGACTGTGACGATCTCCCTTCTTCTACATACAGTATATGGGCAATGCTAATCTTTCTGCTTTTATATACAGTATATGGGCAATGCTGATCTTCACACGTTTATATACAATATATGGGCTGTGACGACCTCCCTTCTCCTACATACAGTATAAAGGCAGTGACGATCGCCCTACCTTGGTGATCTAGAAGTTCTCAGTAATAAGAAGTATAAAGAGAGTGAAAGGTATGTGTTTACCTGTTGAGTTTAAGAGCGAATGCCCTTCTCTCGGCGCTGGACAGTGAAGCCATGGTGTGTGATCCCTGTGCCCCAGTGCTGCACTCTCCTTCATGCCTGTGTACTTTCAGCGAGCTGTCATCTGTCACTTCCGTATTCCCCCTCCCTCCCTCTCTGCCTGCTGCCACCCTGCCTGCCTACTGGGGGAGGGATGCACAGCTATCAGGACGATCAGCTTGTCACAATCTACTTTTCTTCTACTGTTGCCATTTCATTAGGATCTCCTTTTTTTTTGCTCAAGGTTGTCAACAGGATGAGCTCCATTCAGTGTTTAAAATAAACAGATTTCCGAGTTTTTGGAGGATCATTATAAGTCATATCCGCAGCAGTCAGCTGTTCCGATCAAGGTTTATATGCCTGCTCCAAAATGGGGTGACGTCTTCTGCTGTCCCACGTTGCAGATTGAGGAATGTACTCTGCTCACACAGGCTTGTTAGGCTTAATCATGTTGAAATGTGACCCCTGCTCTGACAGGGGGTTAAGCTGCTCTTTCATAGTGCTCTGTTCTCATTCCCACATTTAATTATGAGGATCACAGTGTGGCTGCACATTTCTCCAGTCCTGGAGTCTTGATCCTAGTCTTCTGGGTTATTATTCTATAACCCCCATACAGTTTCATCATTCTTCAATTTCCTGCCTTTGTCTGTAAATCTGCATGGCTGCATATGCAAAATGGAACTTCTGCTTTCGGAAGCCAACCCAAAGGTGCAGCACTCCCACATCTTCATTGGTAAAATTAATCTTTTAGTAACACAGACAGATGTGTTTTGTGCTACATGTTCATATGTATCTGTCAAACGTTGGAAAATCTTATACTAAATGGTTTCAAACCTTGTGTTAAAGCAGAACTCCAGGGAAAATTGTTCTTAACCCCACTGCAAGGCTTAGTGAGCTTGGAGTGGTGACTGCTTTACAACACACACACAGGGACCATGGGGAACAAAAGTAGTCACCCTCCAGAAGGACAGTGACAGCATGAATTCAGAGATGATTTGAGGAACTACAGTCAAGTGATACACAAACAAGATACATTTTTATTAATAGTTAAAGTGACATTAAAGGATTTTTTTTTCTCCCTCCCAATGTTAGTGTAGGGACTTACCTTAAATGATGCCTCTTAATCCGATCATCTTCTTCCTTGCTGTCGTTTTTAGCTGTCCCTCCAGCGCTGGTGCGGGTCTCCGATCCAGCGCTGACTCCTCTGTCCTCTTATCTCATGTCCAACAGGGTCTGTGCGGGTTCACGCTGCTCCATATACTTACCTTGTGTCTCTCCTCGTCTCCCGGCCGAACATCTGAACTGCACATGCGCCCGCCCCAAGATCCTTTGCGGCCACCCGAGAAATGTTCAGATGTTTGGACGGGAGAGGGCGGCGGAGACACAGGTTTCAAAAGTTTTTTTTTTTTTAACGTTTTTGCATATATCTACTGCTTGCTAGCAGTAGATATATGCAAAAAAAACATGAGGGTTTAATAACTCTTTAAAGTACTTCAATGCACTCCAGAGTTTAGGCTCCATTCACATGTGAGAAGTTTTCTGCGTGTATTCGGCCGTACGAATACAAGTGGAACCGCACTAAACATAAAAAACAATGCATTGCAATGTGCATTGTTCAGACTATTGCAACGCAAAATAATCCAAGCGCGATTTTATGGGCGGATTCCACATGTTCTGGCTATAGTAATAGCTGCAAACAAGCGAAATCCACCCGTATGTTAACATTTGCGCGGTTTCTTTCTGTGTGGTTTTCCATGCGAAAGACCACACGGAAAACGCTACCGCTATGTCTGAATGGAGCCTTAGTGTCACTTTTAAAATGCATTTCCCTGGGCTAGCTAATAAAATGAACATAAACATCTGATTGGTTGTATAGGCAGCAAGGCTCTTTTTCTTTTCACTACTTTTTATGAAGCAATTCCGAAGAGGAACAGAGAAGAGTTCAAGGCACCAAACTGCCGCCTAAGTTTCACATTCCTAGGTGGTTTTAGAGATATTTTCACTGCACTGCCCTATGTTAACCACATAATTTTTATCTTTGCCTTGCTGTCTTCCTGGGTGTGTAGCTTTCATTCATCAAGAAAAGAAAGAAATATTCAGCTCCAGAAAAAGGCCTCTAAAAATACGTTTTGGTCTTGGCAGACGGACTCTAGAATGTTGCTGTAGGTTGTAACAGGGTCTCTGCACTTTCTACTAGGCTTAGCTACATTTATCGGGACAAGTAAATATTATACTGGAGTCCGTTCTAAAAATAAGGCTTTATTCAAACATGTGGTATTTCTGGCAACGCTGTGCTTCCAGGTATAAACTGTGGCAACACATCTGCACAAAAATGCAGAGATTTGTTATCTATTACTATACAAATAAAAAAAACAAATATACCATTTTATTTTATTGACTTTTATTATTAAAGCAAAGTCTAGTAAGCACTATAGGTATCTAAAACTGAAACAATTTGATTTTATTATTTTCTTATGGTTTTTTTTATTTAATGAAAAGCCGGATAATATCTGTATCTGCACATTAAAAAGTGTCAAGTTACTCTGAACAATTTCAAAGTGAATCTGTCCCCATAGAAATGTAGTATATGGATGTGTCCCCTGTGCTCCTCACAGCGATTGGACCTGAACAACCGTGGTGCTGGCAGTGATAGTCACGGGTGGTGCTGTGTGTATCAAACTTGTAGAAGATGAAGCCAGCACTCCAGTAGCAGAATTAATCCTTGTGCTTATTTACTGAAGTGAAATGTCACAAACGTGATATAGCAAACACTTCAAAGTATCACTTGAGCCAAAACTTTCGGTTTTTAATACATTTGGGACCAATAGAACCTATGTTATTTCTGGGCTTCACACTTTTTAAAAAGGTTTTTAGGCCTGTCCCAATCGCTTATTTTCCTGGTGGTGGAAGATCACTCACTGTGTCATTACTTGTAAGTGAAAGGCAATGTGGTGGGTTCATGACACCCTGCATTCACAGAATCTCCTGCCCGATTATTTTATTTTTAAAGATATTGGCATAGTGTGCGTTTTTAAGCTTTTTTTTCTGTCTATATCTTTTCTGAGGGAGTTTCCCCTCGCTTTCTTTATGTCACTATGTTGCCCTGATGAAGGGACCCTGTGTGGCCCCAATACGTTTCCTCTCATTAACATGCAATGATTCTAGATCTTTAACCTTTTGTTAAGACAGATAGTGTTCAAATCTAGTTTACAACTGATAACGAGAGCATCCATAACAGTACATACAGGGCTAACTATGGTAAACTTCAACTCCCTGGCCAGCTCCTTAATATTACATAGCAGAGGGAACATTTCAGTTTTGGGTATTTTAGAAACGCAAGTTAAATGTAAGCAGCATTTTTATTTATTTTAATTTTTTTAAAGTTATGCTATGTGAATGAGAACATGTAACAAATATTGAATAGGCTTATCCGAATTTGATTGCAAAAGTGTAAATGCACTTTAATAAAAGTGTCAGCCTCTTAAAAGGAAAATGTAGTCTCTTTTTAATAGATATCATCTTAATGTAAATAGCCTTAGTTCCGTCCCCCGACTCCTGTTCCGTTCCCGTGCCCCGCCTCCTCTGCTATCGACGGTCGATACCCCACCTGCTCTTAGGTCGCTGGCCAGTGATATAAGAGGACACCGCCTCCTCCATTCCGTACACCGCCCTCATCTGCCGCAGCGGCTGGCTATCACTGACACAGCTCCGCAGTGGCTATGAGGAGAAATGCGCCGTGGCCGCTGCTGAGCTGTGTCTGAGACAGCCAGCACCCCCACATGCCATAGCGACCCAGGCTGCCCTGGCCGGTCCCCCCTGTGCCTGGGCACCATAGCGGCCGCCTGGGTCGCTATGGCGATTGTTACACCACTGGCCCAAATCATGCCAGGAAAACATGCCCCAAACCATAATACTGCCCCCACCAGCTTGAAGGGTTGTACTCATGCATGTGGGGTGCATGCTTTCATGCTGTTCCCGCCAAATTCTCACTCTGCCATCTGCATGATGCAACTGGAAACGTGATTCATCGGACCACATTACTTTTTTCCAGTGCTCGAATGTCCAATCCTTGTGTTCCTGTGCGAATTGGAGACGTTTTATCTTGTTAACTGCAGACAGCAAAGGTGTTCGAACAGACCTTCGGCTTCCATATCCCATACGATGCAGTGTACGGCGAACAGTGTGTTCAGAGATCATTTGAGAGGATCCCTGATTAAGATCTGCAGTAATTTGATGCACTGTTGCCCTTCTGTTGTCTTGTACCAGTCTTGCCACTCTCCGTTCT